CCGGGACGGGGCAGCCCCTGCGCGTGCGCGCCCGCCCTTGCGCACGTGTCGGTGTCCGCGGGCGGGGGTTTTTGCGCTGTCGTGTCGCGGTACGGCCGCGTGTGCACGTGCGCTGCCGTGGGCGCGTTTGTAGCCGTGGGTGCGCCCGCGCCCGCGCGGCAGCTGCGCGGGGTGCTGCGCCTGCAGCTCCGCGCAAAACCTGCGCGCCACACCTGCGCGCGGTGCTGCGCCTGTGCGCAGCAGTGTGGGTGCGCTCACGCGCAGCGGTTTGCGCAGGCGGGTGTGAAAGCGCGCGCGGGTGCGGTTCGGGTGCACACGCGCTTGTGTGTGCCTGAAGGAGACGGGGGACCTGGCGACACAGGGCCAGGAGAGGGCAGAGGTCCCCCACACCTCCTGCACCTCGGTCCGCAGCAGCCGGGAGCGGCCTGCAAGAGCCCCCGAGCCCTGGGAGGGCTGGGGCACCATGTGCAAGAGGGTCTTGGTGGAAGAGGACCAGGTCCCTGCGCCCTGATGGGGTGGACCCGCGGGTGCTGGGGGAGCTGGCTCCTGTCATCGCGAAGCCACCCTCAATAATCTGTGATCGTCGCTCCTGTCCTCAGGAGGGGCACAAAGGAGGACCCAGGGACCTAGAGGCCAGTCAGCCTCACCTCCATCCCTGGGAAGGCGATGGAGCAGCTAGTCCTGGGAACCGTTGCCAGGCCCAAAAACAACCAGAAAGTCATCAGCGTCAGCACGGCCTCACCGAGGGGAAGTTCTGCTTGGGCAGCCGGACCCCCTTCTGCGATGAAGCAAGTGGCCTGGCGGATGAGGGGAGAGCAGCAGACATTGCCTGGACTTCAGGAAGGCCTTTGACATCGTCTCCCACCAGATCCTCCGAGAGAAGCTGTTGATGAACAGGCTGGATGAGGAGATGTTGAGGTGCATTGAAAAGCGGCTAAATGGCTGGATCCGGAGGGTGGTGGTCAGCGGCACAAGGTCTAGCCGGAGGCCAGTAACTAGCGGTGTGCACCAGGGGTCAATACTGGCTCCACTCCTGCTTAACGTCGTCGTTGCTGACCTGGATGATGGAACAGAGCGCACCCTCAGCAAGTTTGCAGATGACACCAAACGGGGATGAGTGGCTGGTAAACCAGTGGGTCGTGCATCCATCCAGAGGGACCCGGACAGGCTGGAGATATGGGCCAACAGGAACTGTGTGAAGTTCAACCAGGGCAAGCGCAACGTCCTTCCCCTGGGGAGGAACAACCCCAGGCACCAGGACACGCTGGGGGCCACCTGGCTGGAAAGCAGCTCTGCAGAAAGGACCCGGGCAGTCCTGGGGAACACCACATTGACCATGAGTTCAGTGTGCCCTTGGGGCAAAGAAGGTGAATGGTGTCCTGGGCTGCATCAGGAGCGTTGTCAGCGGGTCAAGGGAGGTCGAGGAGGCACCGGCGAGGCCACTGCTGTAGTGTCCATTGGCGGGCTCCCAAGAGCAAGTCCAAGAGACATAGAGTTACTGGAGGGAGTCCAATGAAGGGCCACAAGGATGATGGCCTGGAGCATCTTCCACATGAGGAGAGGCTGCGAGAGCTGGGACTGTCCAGCCCGGAGCAGAGGAAGCTCAGGAGTATCTCGTCGATCTGCATCAATCCCTGCAGGGAGAGTGCAGAGAGGACGGAGCCTGGCTCTTCTCAGTGGTGCCCAGTGGCAGGACCAGAGGCAGGGGGTTCAAACTGGAACACAGGAGGTTCCCTCTGCCCATCAGGAAACACTTTTTCTCTGGGAGGGTGAACGAGCCCTGGCACGGGTTGCCCAGGAGGGTTTTGGAGTCTCCCACCTTGGGGATCCTCAAACGCCGTCTGGACATGGTCCCGGGCAGCTGGCTGCAGGTGGCCCTGCTTGAGCAGGGGCTTGGGCCCAATGCCCTCCAGAGGTCCCTGCCAACCTCAACCAGCCTGAGATCCCGTGATTCTGTGACCAGGGGGATGTGCATGTGTGCAGGTGCTTGTGTGCAGCTGCGTGTGTGGGTGCGTGCAGGGGTACACGCTCTTTTGTGCACGCGTAGCCGTGTGTGCGCGTTCTGCTGCGTGTGCGTGCAGTTGGGGAGTGCAGTATGTACGCATAGAGCTTTGTGCCTGTGCACACGCTGTTGTTACACGTGTGTCTGCACGCGCTGGTGTGTTTCTGTGCACTGCTGTGTATGCCCCTGTGTCTGGGCGTACGCACACTGCGAGCAGTTGGGGGGGTAGCTGCATGCAGCTCTGCCCGCCTGTTTGCGGCTCCGTGTGTGCATGGAGCTACATCTGTGCACTGGTGTGTGGACTGCATATAGCTGTGTGTATGTAGAGCTCTGTGCACGCAGCTGCGCGTGTGTGCCTGCAGCTGTACATGCAGGAGGGTGCGTGAGTGTGCACAGCTGTGTGTGCGTGCAGCTGTGTGC